TAATAATAATAATCAATCCTTCCATTTTTAGATGGTCATTTAAGATCAATTTGTTTGAGAATGTAGTTTTGAGTTTTAGTAGTTGAGGGTTGGATCTTTTGATTAATTGATGCTACTTTGGGGTCTATTATCTTGTGTTTTTATTAATTTCATAATTGTGAAATTGATCAGTCCTATGTAACTATATTTAAATGTAGGTGTCATTAAGTTAAATGGAACTTACTTGCAGTAAATTAATGTAGAATTACAGAATATCTTGCTTTTTGGATATCTGTTTTGAACAGAATAATAGAAGGAATATAAATTTAAAAAATCTATAGCAGTCCTCTTAGATGATGTGAATGAGTCTCATGACAGAATCCTATAGTAGAGAATAAACATGACGCTGAATTTAAGTGAGCAGTAGCAGAAGACGAGAAGAACAAGGTAAAGTGATTAAATGAATGAATATCTAATATAATGCAGATTCTAGAGAAAAAGATATTGTTTCCGATAATGGTTTGAATGCACAAAAGACTGCATTGGGTAGAGGACAGGTTTTTGCATCTTGGTCCTTACGTCTCATTTGCTTATGTGATTTATTTGGTCTTTGTTTAATACTATATGAATTCAGCCATTGTGATTATTCAGTAAACCATGATTAAAACAAACCATGTTTTAGCTTGATGTGTGAGACCAGTGCTTAAATCTTTTTCTTGTTGTGCAGATAGCTGTGTTAAGTGTTTTGGCAAAGAACAGTGTTAATTCCTGAAAATATTTTATCACATTTTATCTCTATATTTCACAAGATCTAATCTGTACTAAGATAAGAGAGCTCAAATTTTTCTGGAGATCTTTAAATTGAACTGCTGTAAATAAAAACCTGGGGCATGAATAGGAATAAATATAATAAAACAAATCTCTTGATCAATCAAATATAACCTTTAACATCACTGCTACTAATCATTTACATAGCATTAACTGTACTAGTTGTTAAAGCCTAAGGATTTTAAAAACTGATTAGTTTCTATGTCCTTGAATACCATCCCAAAATTACAACTGGTTCTGAATGCAGTGGTGCACATAGTTTTGGGTGCCTCTTGGTTTGCCTTGATTACATCACTACTATGGGAGCCGCGCTGGCTTCCACTTTCTTTCTGGGCGTAATTCAAGGTATTGGTTGCAACATTTAAATCTCTGAATGGCATGGATCCAGATTATTTGTGGGACTGCTTCTCCCTGAGAGTATGTGCTTGTTAAGCAGGTCAAATAGGGTGGGGTGATACAGGTCTCTTATCTTAAATGTTGCCATCTAGTGGAACCTAGGAAGTGCACCTTTTCAGTAGTGACCCCTGCCCTGTGGAAAACTCCCCCTGAGATCCAGCAGGCCCCCACCCTATTACCCCTCTAGAAAGCCTTGAAAAGCTGGTTCCCGTCCCCCCCAACTTTGGGTTAGGTGAGGCTGAAACTTTGGGTTAGGTGAGGCTGAAGCCCAGTAAATGTGATTGTTTATGTATAGGGGAGTGTTGTTTTAGGGCACTGAGAATTGTTTTGGAAGTTAGTTTTAAATTTTCTTTTGTTTTTATTGCTGTTTTTGTGAGCCACCCAGGGTTATGGCATGTATGTATTTTCTCAATTTATATGGCCACCCATCTCAATTTTTTAGCCAAGGTAAAAAACAAAATCAACAACAAATCAGCACAGTTGTTGCACAGGCTCTGCCCACAACCAGATCCCTAGGTATATAAGATGAGCCGCCATATAAATCAATCAAACAAACTTTCCTACAGGTAGTCCTTGACTTACGACCACAATTGGGACCAGAATTTCCACCGCTAAGTGATGCAGTTGTAAAGTGTGATGTCACGTGAGTGCATCACTTAGTGATGGCAAATCCAGCACTTCCAGTTGCTATTGTTAACCAAATTCCAGTGGTCATTAGCCGAGGACCCACCCCAATCCAAGCCATTTTGGGCTTGGTCCCTCTCAGGCCTGAGCCTTGGTTTTTCCAAGTAAGGGACTGCCTCCCCTTCAACTACCCCCAACTGTCTATTCCCCCTACATGTCTGCCTTTTTGGCTGCCCTGAACCCTGCCTTGTGGGGTAGCAAGCAACCCCAGAACTGCGCAGCTCTGGGGCTGCTTGCCACACTGTGGCTCAGGGGCTTCTTGGCATGCTGCAGCTCTGGGACAACAAGAAGCCACTGAGCTGCAATGCAGTGTGAAGACCTTGGCGGTACTGTGTGAAGCTGCCGCCAGCCCAGTCCAGTCCCAGCCTCAGTTGCCATTACCACTCTGCACTCTGAGGTCTGTGCATGACCTGGGGAAGAAAGCCTATGTGGCCAGCAGCTGCCTTGTGAAGGAAGCAGTCCCAGACATGCTTGGTCAGCAGCAGGAGCGAGAAGATGGTGGTCAGCTAGGGTGGCAGGGGCCGCGGAGTACAGGGGTCCAAAAGGGCATAGATGGGGGGAGATAGGTGGGTGGGGGGAGTTGAAGCGCCCCTGCAGTTGTAAGTGTAGCCTGGATACCAAGCACCCAAATTTTGATCATGTGACTGCGGGGGTGCTGCAACGGCTGTAACTCCAAATGGTTGCTGAATGAATGGTCGTAAGTCGAGGACTACCTGTATTTGACAAGTCAATATTGCTTTGATTTTCAGGTAAACATCATGTGAATGGAAACAGTATGGTTGAACCTTTTCCAGAGGGAGTGCACATGACAATATTTGGTAAGTTCAATTTGTCTAGTATTGGGACTTTATATCTGACTAGACTTATATAAAATTATGCTGTTTTTCTACTATTAATATTAATGAATATCATTATAATTCTTTACTTCCAGAAACTGTTTATCATTGTTATCCCTTTTTAAAATAATAACTTATCCAAGAATAGATGAATTTGAATTTTTTTATATTCACCTCTGGTATTTTAGACCCATCCTATACATCCAGATGTGGGTACTGTACATGGGATGGAAAATGAATGAAGATTTATTTATTTATTTATTTTATTTATTTATCATATTTATATAGCCACCCATCTCACACAAGGTGACTTTGGGCAGTGTTACAACAATTAAAAAATAAATACATAAAAACAATTAGACATAAAAAAACTGTTAAAACACACAAAATAGGAGGGGATAAAATTGATAAGGGAGCCATCGTAAAATCTCCCTGTCCCCTGGGAGCCCCAGGCCTGATCACATAGTCAGGTCTTGAGGGACTTGCGGAATGTTAAGAGGGATGGAGCTAATCTCACTTCTGGGGGGAGAGGATTCCACAGGGTGGGTGTCACAGAAGAGAAGGCCCGCCTCCTGGGACCTGCCAAATGTAATTCTCTAGCAGATGGGATCCACAGCATGCCTTCTCTGCCAAACCTGATGGGATGGGCAGATGTAATTGGGG